TGACAACACCAAGTCAAGGGTTAAGATCCCCTTACCGGTCATCTTTAAAAAAAAAAATAAACACAGTTTTGTCTGGTATTTCAGGCCCCTCAGGGTCTGAGAATCAGTCCTTCCCTCACCTGGGCTTCAGTGCCATTTTTTGGAATGAGGAGGGATTGGAGGGAGTCCCTTGGAGAAGTGACCCTTTTCCACTGTGGAAAGACCCCAGCAGCTGCCCCTCACTGTCTCCACAGACCCTCTGGACATGCCATTGGTTGGCCAGGATGAGTTTTTCCTGGAGCAGACTAAGAGGAAAGGAGTGAAGGTGAGATGTATGGGCAGGGCAGCCCGGTGATGGGAGGCCTGAGGAGGGGGGCAGGGAGCCGTGGGAGCTGCTCAGTCTCAGCCTGTCCATCCTGGTGACAGAGAACCCACACACTGCAGCCAGGTGGCCCAGGTTCCAGTCTCAGCTCTGGTGCTGACTGATCTTGGGAAGGTGGCCTAACCTCTCTGTGCCTCTGTTCCTTCCACTGTAACATGAGAATGACAACTGAAACAGTTGAAGACAGTGCCCAGCGTGTGATGTAAGTGTTGTCTGTTTCAGTTTCTGATGTGTAGGCTTCTTCCTCTTGAGTGGCTAGCCCCTAGTGCCTTAGAACCCAGGTGCCTCAGAATCTCTGGGGTCCAGCTTCATTCATGTAACAAGGAATAAGGATCTCCCTGCCAGGCACTGGGTGTGGTGGAGAGCAAAGCAGGGGTGTGTGTGTTGGGGGGCAGGTTTTGTCCTTGGAAATAAACATGTCAGCATGTTGGGCTTCGGTTGGTGCCGGGAAGGAGAGAATGGGGCAGTGGCAGGTCAGCAGAACCTGCTTTACAGAGGCTAGGGAAGCTGTCGCTGGCAAGAACGAGGTACTGATGGGGTTAGAGACCTGGGGAGGTGTGTGAGAGGTCAGAGGGAAGAGCCTCCAGGCAGTGAGCACAGCAAATGTAAAGTGTGAGCCAGGTCCCGGCATGTTGCAGGAGCTGCCAGAGGCGGGTGCGGTTGGGGGGCAGTGCAGCCAGATTGCAGGCTTTATTCTGAGTGAGGCAAGGTAGGGGTGGGGGAGCCACCAGTGGGTGTTTGGCACAGGAGAGTGGTGGCATCCAGGTGGCTGCTTAAGGTTGGACTGTGGTGGGCAGGTGTACAGGGCCAGAGATCCCAGGAGCTAAGGGCGTGAGGGTGGCGTGAGGCGGAGCCAGCATGGACCAGGGCTAGTTGTGACCCAGCACAAAGTCCCAGGGCAGAAGCATCAGGACTCACAGGTGGTTGGGTGTGCGGAGAGCTTGGGGGGCATCCAGGTGACTGACAAGGCCTTTGCTAGGGTAGAGGCTGGACAGGGATGAAGGAAGTCTGGAAGTGGAGTGTGCACTGAATCACCCTGGGGAGTCTCGTCAAAATGCAGATTCTGATTAGAAGTTCCTGGGTGACCTGGGATTTTGTATTTCTTACAAGCTCCCCTGGGAGTTCTCAGGCCACACTGAGCAGCAAGACTCTAGAAAGTGTTTGTCAGCCATGTCCTGCTCTGATAGACCACAAACTCATAGCCACCGTGGTACCTTGCTGTAGATTTCAGACTGACAGACTGCGGTGACTGAAATCAAGACCCACTTCACCTTATGTTTTTGTAGGTGTCACCCCTTCCCCACAGGTGGGGGGGTCACCATGTGGACTCTTAAAAAGAAAGGCAGGCAGAGCTGCTGCTGACAGGGAACTTGCTCACCCTGGGGTGCCGCTCTTTGGGGTGCTAAGTGTCTGTTGCTTGAGACACTAATTTCACAGGGCACCCCATTCACAGGCTTCAAGGTGGTGGGCCATGCAGCCAGCCAGTGTGCATCCCCTCCATGACCTCTGCCATTTCCCAAGCCAAGAGTTCCAGCACTGCAGTTTGTGGGAACTTGAATCACAGGGCTCCTGGGCTGTGTTAGTTCATTTGTGTTGCTACAACAAAGTACCTGGGACTGGGTAATGTACAAATGATGGAGATTTATTTCTCACAGTTCTGGAAGCTGGAAGTCCAAGATCAAGGCACTAGCAGTTTCAATGTCTGGTTGAGGGTTGGGTCTCTACTTCCCCAGTGACGCCTTGAACGCTGTGTCCTGACATGGCAGAAGGGCCAGAGGGGCTGACTCTCTGTGAAGCCTCTTTTATAAGGCATTGATCCTATTAATGAGGGCGGAGCCCTCATGGCCTAATCATCTTCTAAAGGCTCCACTTCTTAATATTATCACATTGGCCATTAAATTGCAACATACAAATTGTGGGTGACACATTCAGACCATAGCATTATCCTTACCCTGCCTTGGCCTTATCTTCCTCCAGCGGCCACCGCATCTGCATACCAAGCCCTCCCAGGCACCTGCTGTGGAGGTGACGCCTGCTGGGGCCTCCTACAACCCATCCTTTGAAGACCACCAGGTACATAGCTGTGGTGAGGCCTCTCTGCTTAGTCAAACTGCCCTCACCAGGTGCTTCTTTGCTGGTCCTGTGCTAGGGGCCTGTGGGGATTCAAGTGGTCAAGATAGCCCTGGGCCTGTTGTCAGGGGGCCTGTGGTCCAGTGGGGGAGACAGACCTGTTCCCAGACAGTGATTGAAGCTGGGAGCCCAGCCTGGGGGTTCAGGGACGCGCTCATCGGAGGAGGGGATGTCTGAGCCAAGGTGGAGGCTGAGTAGGGGGTTGCTGTGGGAAGAGGGGAATGGATTTGGATCTCCTCACCCCCACCTCTGCCCCCTCACAGACCTTGCTCATGGCGGCCCATGAGGTTGAGCTTCAGCGGCAGAAGGAGTCAGAAAAACTGGAGCGGCAGCTGGCCATGCCCATTGGGGAGCAGATGGCCACCCAGGTGAGCCCCACACCTGCCATTCCACACACCCCCCACCCCTGCCCTGCCTGCCTGGTGCCTAGCCCCTGACCCTGTTCCCCTCTCCCCCACCACAGGAGTCTGTGTTCCAGGAGATGTGTGAAGGGCTTCTGGAGGAGTCGGATGGGGAGGGGGAGCCGGGCCAGGGTGAGGGGCCTGAGGGTGAGGAGCCTGAGGCCGGAGGAGCCAAGGCATCGTTGGCACCTGCCCGCCTTGCCCCTGCGGAGAAGAAGACAGAGCAGCAGCGGCGGCGGGAGAAGGCTGCCCGCATGCTGGTGAGCCCTGTAGGCTGGGGTTGCACTCCCTGCACCCGCAGCCTGCCTGCTGGGGTTCCTCTGCTCTCTTTCTCCTGCCTTCAGCCCGCTTTCTCTCGTGTCCACAGCCTGCCTTCTCTAAACCCCTTCTCTGAGCTGCTTTGTCAGCTAAGACCTACTTCCCAGCACCTTCCAGGCTCCACTCTGGGCTCAGGGATACGGTTGGGAGCGCACTTGGTGAGGAGTGGGTAGTGGGGAGATTCGTGAACTGCAGACAGAGAAACAGATAATGGAGATAGTTTCAGAAAACTGCTCTGAAGGCACTAAGGCAGCTGGTGTGATGTGACCGGTCATTGGTGGTCAGGAAAAGCTTCCTGGGGAAGGTGGGTTTAGAGGGCCCCTGTGTGGGGAGAGCCACCCGAAGGCCAGGTGGTGCACGGCTGAGCCCAGACCCCTCTCTTTCCCGGCAGCGGGCACAGCAGGCCGTGGTGCGGGCTGCCCGGCTGCGGCACCAGGAGCTCTTTAGGCTGCGTGGGATCAAGGCCCAGGTAGCCCAGCGGCTGGCAGAGCTGGCGCGGCGGAAGTGGCAGAGGCAGACACGGCGGCTGGCCGAGGCCAACAAGCCCCGTAGGCTGGGGCGGCTCAAGTGAGGCCCGGGCTAACAGTTTCCTGGGGAGGTGGGGAGGGATCCAGATCCCATGTCCTGGCACCTTCCTGCCTTCGCTCAGGATGTCCCCTGCTGGGAGACCACCTGTTCCCCTCAAAGCCCTGTGTTCTCTGAGGCCCACCTTTCCTTGGGAGGGGGCTTTGGACTTGGTGTCCTTGTGCCCTGCCAGGGGCTGACCCCCTGAATACCCCGTCCCTGTGATTTCCAGGTATCAGGCTCCCGACATCGATGTGCAGCTCAGCTCGGAGCTATCTGACTCTCTAAGGACCCTGAAGGTATTTGCCCACCTGGGGTGACATGGTGCTATGGGGGTCCCGTGCCCAGTGATGACACCCATCCTTGCTCCCCTTGCCCCTCAGGGGCTGTGGGCGACACCTTGGCTGCCCCCAGGCTGGACCAGTTGGGCCAATGCCTGGGGGCTGAGGGCATGGGGTCCTGAGTTGGAAGTTCTGAAGTAGGCTGTAATGTGTAGAGACTAGTCTTTTAACAGAAGTGACAGAGCAGATGTGAGGATAAGGACTAGAAAGTCCCCTGGCTGCCATGTGGAGGGTAGGGGCTAAGTTGTGGCTAGGGGCGGGTGATGTGACCTACAGAAGGCCCAGTCAGGTCCGGTTGCAGCCCTGGTCTCCTGGCCCCTGTCTCCCCACCCGCTTCAGTCCTGCAGGGGTCTTCCTAAAGCTCAAAGCAGACCCTGTCCCTTCCCTGCTCAGAACCTGCCATTGCTCCCCAGTGACCCCAGAGGAAGCCTGGCTCCACTCCACAGTATAAGCCTTGCCTTAGGGCTCTGGCAGCTGTGCCTCAGTAGTGAACCGTGCACCTCCTCCTTCTGACCACAGCCTTTGCCCCTGTTGTTCCTTCCACCTGGTATTCCCTGTCCCACTTCTTCCTGTTGATTCCTCCAAGCTCAGCTCAGAGGCAGCCATGGGTCAGTACTCGTCAACCACCAAGACAGCCCCACGAGCTCAGGGCCAGGCTAAGCACCTGGTGTTCAGGAGGCAGCACTGGGGAGACCCCAGGGGGCTGAGCCCTCCCTGGACTCCCCTGGGGCCAGGCTCCTACTGAGGCCTCCTTCTCTGTCTCCCACAGCCTGAGGGCAATATTCTCCGAGACCGGTTCAAGAGCTTCCAGAGGAGAAACATGATTGAGCCTCGGGAGAGAGCCAAGTGAGAGGCCCCTGGGGCTGCCCTGTTGGGGTTAGGGCGTCTGGAATGCACCCCTGGTGCTTGGCGGGGTCACTGGTCACTGACCGCTCCCTTGTCCCTTCTGTAGGTTCAAGCGCAAGTACAAAGTGAAGCTTGTGGAGAAGCGGGCGTTCCGTGAGATCCAGTGAGTGGGGCTCCCCATCCGCTTCCATGCCTAACTGGTCTGGCTGCGACAGAAACAGGGCTCTAACTTGCTTACACAAAAAGAAAGCAACGGTTCTCCCTCCCCGTGGTATCCTCAGGACCCCAGGGCCCTTCCCAAACCCGACAACTGCGGTTAGGGGGTGAGCAGCACTCCCTCTGCCAGGCCCAGAAGAGGGTCAGCCCACCAGAGGCACCCGAATGCAGAATGGGGGCGGGGAGTGTCCCCAAAGGGAAATCGAAGGGCTAAAACCAGAAGGAGGGGTGTCAAGATGGAAAGGACACGGGCACCCACCCCCTCCTCCATCCTTAGCCCCTCTTCTTCTGTCCCCAGGCTATAGTCACTGCTGGATGCCGGAGCCCCTAACTTTCAATAAAGCACTTTCTGACAGCTTAGGCTTTGTGTATGACTTACCTCCCTCCTACAGGCAGCTGCTCTCTCCATGAAGTTTCTCTGGTGCACAGATGTAGGTCCCAGAACCTTCATCTCCCCTAGAGCCTGGTGAGAGAACCCAGGGTCTGTCAGAGGGCCGTCCACTGGCTGAATCGTGACCCGGCCAACAGTGGCAAAGTTGGCAGCCTTACGAGATGGTGTAGATCCTAGAAAGAAAATCAGCAGAGAGGACAGGGCTTTTGGGCTGACTGGATGTGTGAGAGGTTAGGGAGAGGTGAGCTCGAGATCCACACACGGATTTCTGACATGGAGGCGAGCCCACTGCTTCCCGCCGCTGGTGACTGAGGAGCAGCTCTTGCCACGTGGACAGCGGGAGAGGCCGCAGTGGCAGCAGCTGTCGTCTGCTGAGCACCTGCTGTGATTTTACGCAGATGGATTGAATTGTTGAACCCACAGGACAGCCCATTAAGGAGGGCTGTGATTATTCCCATCCTAGCAGTGAGGAAACTGAGGCACGTGAAATAAGGTTACTTTTTCTCCCCTCCCCTACACCTAGTTTTTAAGTTTTTTAAACCTTTATTCTATAAGACATAAAGAACTATGTTCTCATTGTAAGTTATTGCCAAACGTGACTGTCACCCTTGGTCTTTGCCCTNTTAGCAGTGAGGAAACTGAGGCACGTGAAATAAGGTTACTTTTTCTCCCCTCCCCTACACCTAGTTTTTAAGTTTTTTTAAAACCTTTATTCTATAAGACATTAAGAACTATGTTCTCATTGTAAGTTATTGCCAAACGTGACTGTCACCCTTGGTCTTTGCCCTCCGTTCAGATCCACTCCCCACTTTTCGGTGCAGGTTCCTGTCACTGCAGTTTGGTGTGAATGATTGTGTTCCCTGTGTAATTCTGTTAAATTACGCGTCCATGTGAAAATAGGACTGTTTTGATACTTCTGTTTCTTAGGCTTATACTGTGCGTGGTTCTCCAGCTCACTGTTTAGTGCATCTTGGAGCTCTTTCTGTGTCTGTACAGCTTCCTCACTCTTCTCCACAGCCGTGTGGAGTTCCATCCTGGGTGTGTCATGTTACTTACCCAGACCAGTGTTTCTCCTCATGAAGCTGGAATGAACATGTTTTTCCACATGCTTTTTCACATGAGTCTGTAGAGTAAGTACCTGAAAGTGAGTCTCTGGGCTAAAGGACACACATCTGTACCAGGCCATTTCATGGCTTCCGCCAAATTGCTCTCTGTATCGGTTGTACTGATTTTTACTCTGACAGCATAGGAGCCCACCTGTTTCCTCGTAGCTTTTGCTACTGTGATCTCACTGTTTCTGTTTTGTTGTGCCTGGTTACCAACGAGGTTGAGCATCTCCTTATATAACTATTTGCCATTTGTGTTCCTCTTCTGTGACGGTTCAAACCTTTTGACCATTTTACTCCTGGGCGTTTATTTGTAGTTGTTCTTTATTATGGATCTGAAGTCTATCGTACATGTTAAAAACATTCCTCCCAGGTTGCTGTTCTTGTGACTTTGTATGTGGTGTCTTTTGTCAGGCAGAAATGTTTAGTGCTTTTAGTTTTCTATTAGTCTTTCTCCAGATCTTATTATGGTATTTGAGAAGGTTTCTGCAGAACAAGATGTTTATAAAAATAGAGCAAGCAGTTTATAAAAGTAATGGATGAAGGAAGAGACGTCAGAGCTTCCCCATTCCCTGACCACATTCCATAGAACATTATGACTTTGAGGAGAGCTATTTCTGCTGTTCTCCCCCCTCCCAACTTAAAAATAAAAAGGAATGTTCTACAGACTAGAAAACAACTCGTGTGTGTGTGCGTGTTGGTGAACCGATGACAGGGCAGTAGGGAGAGTAAAAATGAAAGCCATCCCATGCCTGCTAAGGAGTCCTGATCCCTGGCCTCTGACCCAGTAAATCCATGCAGGGGAATGAGACTGAAGGAACCTGCTGGAAGAGGAGAGGAAACTTTAACAACCAGAGATGGCCATCAGGGCATCCATCAGATTCTTAGATACCTGGGGGTGGGTGGGGGTGGAGGTGGGCACAGCTACTCCAGGGCAAATTCTGCAGCCTGGACATTTGCAGTGTCCTCAGGAAGCTCTTGCTATTTTATTGCCTAGGGAAATGTGTCAGCTCCCATGTGTGTGAAAAACGGGGAGTGAGCAACAAAGGCACATTTGTGTGTCTTTGTGCTTGTAAGTGACACTTCATGTCTGCACTTCACATCAAAAGAAAGACGAAAGTACACAACTCAAGATTTGCAAGCTGAAGTGCACTGATGTCTGCAGCTTCCTTTGAAATGTGTAAAATAAGGTGGATTAATGGACGGGTGAGGGTGGACAGATGAACGAAAAAGTGCAGTGAAACGGTAGGATTGAGGCGTTGGGGCATGGGAGTGTTCATAGGAAAATCCCCTCGACTTTACTGTTTGAGAGTTTTCCTAATTGCTCCGCAAAGGCATGGTGGGACTCGTTGTGATGGTGTTGGAGCTGATGTTGAGAGCCACTCATTTACACAGGTCCCTTCCAAGGCCCTGCACCTCCTTTTGAATCTGTAAACTGATAACTATTTTTCCTAAAGTAGGGTCTCTCAAATTGTAAAAGCTTCAGGTGCCACAAAACCTGGATCTGCCTCTAACTGTGATATAAAAAAATCAGAGAGACTGCTCAACACTTGGGTAATGGCTGAATACGTGACGGTACATCTATGCTGTGGAATGAACAAGACGACTGTTAAAAAGGACGCAGGCCATGTGTGGGCCGTGGCATAGAACTGCGAAGAGCATGGACTTGGGAGCCCGTGGTCTGATTCCAAATCCCAGCTCCGTTACATTGCAGCTGTGTGACCTCTCGCAGGTCACTCAACTTCTCTGTGCCTCAGCAGCCTCATCTGCAAAATGGACGTAACGGTACTGCCTGTCTCACAGCAGGTTGTCACAAGAAGGAAGTGGGTCTACACATGAAAATACGTGGAATGGGCTGACTCAGAGTAAGCTCTAGGCGAATGTTTGCTTTTATAATAATGTTAGAGGAAAAATAAAGATGGTTAAAAAAAAAAAAAAAAGATGTGGAAACTTGCAGTTTGTGCCAGAGACTCATCACAAATGCTCTTACCTTTTGACCTACGGATTGCAGTCTTGGGAATGTGCCCTAAGGAAACAGATGGAAACTTGGGGAAAAGCATAATGCAGAATCCAGTCCGTCAGAGTGTTTTGCAGAATGGAAGGAAACTGGGTAATGGAAATGGGGCAGGGCCTGTCCACTCGGAGGGACGCCTCTGTGGCCATTAACCAAGGGAACGGAAGTACGTGCAACGACCGGGGCATGTTTATGTTCTCAGGCTTTGTGGAAAAAAGCAAACAGGATCTGCCGCTGTTCACGCCAGTGTTCATCAGACAAACCCCATGCCAAGGTCTTGGGCGGGGAGACGTCAGAGGATGCCATATCTTTATGACTTTTTCCCCAGCATTTTCAATTTTCCTACCATGTAGAAAACATTTTTAAAAAGAGAAATTCAAAATAATAAAAATTTCTTGAAAAAGTATATGCAAAGACGTTTGCTGTTGTGCCATTTGGAAGATTAAAAACAAAAGAAAAAGCAGTCCACGTGTAGAACAATAGAAAGCAGGTTTTTTCAAGTGGTTCATCTACACAATGGGATGTTTCACTGCCATTAAAAAAAACTAGCTTTGGGAAGATTTACAGTGATCTGGGGAGATACTTATCTCAGAACTGTGAAATGGGGGAAAGGACTCAGTATGACCTTGTCCAACTTCAAGCTGTATATAAATAGCCAGAGAGAAAATAATCTGAGGGGGATATATATACCACAGTGTTAACAGGACTATCCTTGGACGATAGATGGTTTTTTTTTTGGTGGCTGGCCAGTACGGGGGTCAAACCGTGGACTTTGGTGTTACCAATGCCATGCTCCAACCAACTGAGCTAACCGGCCAGCCCCTTTACTTTTCTTTAAATTCTGCATCCTCTCCTCTTCCTGCCATGCTCTTCATCCTGGTGGACACTGGGTGGGCTTGCCTGACCTCCATCCATCCTCTCAGCAGAGGCTGGAAGCAACAACCGTACCTAGCAGACTCCCTGGCAGCAACAATTAGACTCCCTCCTGTGAACGAGGATGGAGCGATCCCAGGACCACAGCCTGGTCCGGTGTTCTTGAACTCAGTGGTTTCAGCAGCAGCTACAGAGGCGGCAGCACCCCAGGCGGGTCGGTTCTGGGCTGTCCCTCTGGGTATCATTCCTGAGAGCCCAGCCTAGAGCACGCTCCTCTAGCCTCCCACGAGTTTGTAGGCACCCAGTTCCCTGTATTCAATAGAAAACACCTGGAGTGGTTTCTGTGTATGCTCTGATCCCTGCATGAGGCAATCATACGTTGCTTTTTTACTCAGGAAAATTATTTTTTTAAATTCTAAGAGCTTTCCAAGGTATGCATAAAACTATGCCAGTGTGAAAAATTGAGACTTATGCTGTCTTCATTTGTTAGGCAATAGAGATGGTGGCCCAGAGAGGGCAGGGGGCTTACCCAAGGCCACACTGAATTGCTGAGTCAGGTCCAGCCAGGACTTTCTCCATTACACATGTTAGGTACAGCCTTCCCTGTATGAGGCAGGAGCACAGACAGATGGCTCAGGATGCCTCCACCTCTTTGTGACTTGCATGCCGCACATGCACATGGTGTCTGGGGTAGCAGGAGGAGTAGGGGGAATTGATTGTCCCCAAACTCTGGAACGACACATGAGTCCTCCAGGCTGGAAATCTGGCATCATCACAGATTCCTTTAATCATAAATTCATTTTAAAATTAATACTTGTCCCACATGTACAAAGCTGTCTCTGCCACAGTCCTTATTCAGGTCCCAGTGAGATATGTGCTATTGTGACTCCACTTTTTAGCTGGGAACCTGGGGCACAGAAATGGTAAGTGACTTGCCCAGATTTCAGATTCTAACCCAGGTCAAGCCCATCCCATC